CTGCTTGTTATGCACAGGCTTTTTGACTTTCCTAAGACTTTAATAGTTAATTTAGTCAGTTCCACTAGCAAGAAGATTTAGTTCTGTATCATCCTTTTTTTCTATTTTAATCATCTTATTAGTGAGACAGAGACACAGAGAGGCAAAGAGATCTTCAGTTTGATGGTTCACATTCAAAATACTTATCAAATATCCTGTTTGACTAGGGCTGACACCAAGAGCCAGGTATTTAATCCAGATCTCCTATGTGGGTGGCAAGAATTCAATTACTTGATGGGCTGTCATTGTGGTAAAGCCATTACCTGCAATGCCAGCATCCTATTTGGGTTGTGTTTTGAATCCCGGCTGCTCCGGTTCCAATCCAACTTCCTGTAATGTCTTAGGAAAAGCGAAGGGAGATGGTCAAATGATTGGACCTCAGCCACCCATGTGGGAGACCTGAATGAAGAGCCTGAAGTTAGGCAGGCTTATCTCTAGCCGATGCTGCCACTTAATGTGTGCACCAGAAGATGTCTCTCAAAATAATAAGTTAATCCTTAAAAATGAATTAAAATGGATTTGAGCCATTACCCCTGCTTCCCAGCACTCACGTTAGCAGGAAGCTGGAGTGAGGGGCTTGAGCAAGATTCAAACTCTAGTACCTCAATGTAAAATGCAGTTGTGTTAATCGGCCTTGGTGGTCTTGGGGTGCAGCCAGTTGGAGTCTACCCAGTTTAAACACCTGCCCCACAGGTTGTTTCATTTTTCATTTGATTAATCATTTATATTCTGTTGTTAGCCCATTTGTGTATCAATCACTTCTCTTTGGGATTTCTTGCCTCCACACATGTCCAGTCTATTCTTACTTAACTCAGACTTTATGTGTATACACGTAGTATCGAATCTTCAGGAACAGTATTAAAAGACAAAGTGACTATGATTTCAAATTTTGAAAGAAAATTTACTGTTTTCAAATCAGATATGTACAGTATAAATTGAAACAAAATACTCCTCTGTTTAAAGGGTTGTAGGGGTGCCCTTTACAAATCCATATTTGAAACACATGTTGACACCATATATGTTAAAATAATGCAAAAAATGAAAACATATAAATTGCTTCAGACAGATAAAAATAAGAGTGTCTCTATATTTTCAACATCTTCTTTGTTTAAAGGGCTACATTTACAGACAGAGAGCTTAGGCACTGTCACCACTATGAATTCATTGGCTGCTATTTAGGAACTCTATTGTGGGAAACAATTTGAAAGGAAGAGTTTTTACTGTGAAAATTTTAAGATACAGTCAATGATTTGAAATCTTTCCAATAAGTTTTGTTGAAGGAGACAGGCTGTATAACACAGAAAAGGAAATCAAACAGGATTTTGTATATACTCACTTAGAACTTTTTACTGAAGTTCAAGACCTAGATTATTTTGTTTATTTTATTATTCACTAAAGTGCACCTCTGCCTCAAACAAGAAGTTAAGTGCCAAAATCCTATGCATGTCTCTTCTCAAAGTATTTCCAGGAAGATGAGACACAGGAAATCCTGAGAATCTTGTGAAAAAGTCTTTGAATTTTTAGCTCAACTTCTGTAGGTTTAGGTACACAGTTTCATTCATTGTTGTTCCTTAGCATATTAATCCTACAAAATGCATCACCATAAAAGCTTTTTATTTAATGGACGCTTCACAAAACCATGACAATGAAATTCTTATTTTGTTTGATCAAAATATAAGAAATGCTTTCTAGAAAAGAGTGTATTGGAGTTTGTAATCAGCACCAAGGTTTTGTATTACTAATTTAATCCAAAGCTGGGTCCTTTTTTTCTTTGTGATTCTAGAACATTGGAGCGCTAATGTCATTTAGATCAATGTCTGCATATAAATGTCTTCAGGTCCCTCTGACATGGCAACTCCCTACAGACCTGTTGGTGAAAAAGCGTAAGACAACCCACAAAAGCATCCAGGGATAAAATAGAATTTCTTTGGTATTTTAGTTAGAGGCGTTAAGGCACAGCAGTACTCAAGAAAATCTCAATGTATATTAAAATAAAAAGAAAACTAGTTTGGCACACTAACTTTGTTTCTAAGTGAAAATGATGTATAGATGTAAATAAATGTAAAGGATCCATTCACAAAATAAGTACATGGGGATAAAAATACACATATGTAAAAGTCTTTCCTTCATTGTTAGTATAACATAAATCTATACGAATAAGTAGAATTTGCATTATTCCAAATGTGAGAGAGGTGATTTTTCACAGCAATAGGATACCACAGTTATATTTCTAGTCCCACTTGCTAGAAGAAATGACTTTTTATCCTGCTTCTGACATTTAATATCTGCGTGATTTGGGGCAAGATTTTTAGTGTATTGCCCATGCACTAGGGCTTATAGTATCTACTCAATCTATGTCATTATGTTATTTTAAGAAACAAAGGAGATAACGTTTTTAAACACTTCACAAGTGTAATAATACGTGTGGAAGAATGTGATGACAAGTGGAGATACTATATAGATTTTCCTGGCAAATAAATTTTGTTTTCCAAACTATTTTGGAAGTGATGAAGAAGAAGGGCTAGCTTCCAGAGTAGATAATAACCTATGTATGAGAATGAAGACAGGACAACAGTCTTTTGGAAGCCAGATTTCAAGAGAATCTGAAACATAATGATGAGAGCTGTCAAAGGAAATGGAAAGGTCAAGAAGTCTTTAAAGGTTATTACTATTGTAGAGGCTGTCCCTAATAAATATACTCTATAGGAAATCATTGGAGCACAATGTTTGTTAAGGTGAAGAAATGAGATGGGAAAATGACTAGAAGTGATAATTTTTGATAAGAACTGCCATTTAGGAAACCTTGTGAATGCTGTGTGACATGTTCTCAATTTGCTTGTAGTTATCATTCATACTAGCTGGGTTTTCAAGCCCTTTGGAGGTGTCTGTAACTTCTGGGGCAATCCTGTCCTCACTTTACCTGAACATCTATTCTAACAAGATAGACTGTGTGAGTGCCCTTTGATATTTGGCAGTAAAGATACATTAAACACTCGTTAACACATTCTAAAAATCGGTATTCTTTTCAGTATGCTAATGTGTATCCCTATCACTCAGGGCAGGCAGGACTTTATGTCCAGGAGTCAGTGTTCAGATGATTTCCTTTGGCCTTCAGTCTTCTTTGGCCAATATTTTTATGCTCTTTCCTTTCCAAATTATACTGAAAAATAAGAAGCAAACCTGCTCTCTTTTATTACCATTTCAGATAGTAGCCATGTCTTAAATATGCATCTTCTTATAAGAGCAGTACATCAAAGGTAGAAAGTAAAAACATCTGGAAAACATGATTTATGTTTGAAAAGGAAGTTTCTTATAGCTCCTGGTTTTTATTTGAGATAAAGTTTCTCCCTACAAAAATAAATTCTTAGGCTAGCAATGGTGTCATTTTGTAATTTGCATAATTACTGGAAAGAACTATAAGATATAACTTTAGGATTTTTCCCAAACCAGAATGCTACTTATTGATTCAGAAAATAATTGACTGACCAGTGTGGAAGGTGTTGCACATTAGTGGGGTCTTTTTGAGTTGGTTATCTAGGTGCTGTTTTTTTCATTCTTGGCTTCACACTTGTCTTTCCTGCCACATACTGGGACATATTCTCTTGGAAGAGAAGTGTGTTGGCAAAGCTATGGAAACTCATAAAGCAGATCTTTCCATACCTCCTTATCTGTGTAAGGCATTCAGATATTTCATTTTGTCTCACACACAGAGTTCAAAATTTTGGCTCTTCAAACGCACTCAATTTTATAATTTAAGCATTAACTTTAAAACACTCCCTAGTGTCCCATTTTTTGGAGAAAACTTATAGGGATGATTCAGAGCTACATTTCTCTAAGGTAAATTAAGTGCCCATTCGTTCTGGTGTGTTGCATTTGAATAGCACCTTGTAAACTAAGGTTTGCCTGAACTCTCTGAAAACAAAAATGAGAAAGCTAAGTAAACCATTCCCCAGAGGAATGGTAGTGTATTAGACACTCTATAAAATGTAAATGCTTTTTATTTCCTCGCAATTGCTTAGATTCAAGAGTGCTTCTGCATTCTGTATCATTTCTAATGTGCAATGGAAATGTGCTTTCCAGAGTTCTGAGGGAAGGAAGTTCTTGATTGCAGATGGTCTCTGTCAAAGGAGAGTATCCCATCATTTTATAAGAGCCTAATTCCAGCAGAATGAAGCCTTCCTTTGCTGAGCCTTGTGCACAATGGTTAGGCAACTTGGAATGCTGAAGCTTCACCCTGATCCCAAAGAACTCCATTGAAATTTCATCACCACTAATCTTTTGAGAATTCCGAATGAGTAATAATTTCTGTTTTGCTCATTTTTTTCCTTAGCTATTTCTTGCATTCCATATTGGAGCCATTTACTCAATGAAACTTATTCTATAATTTCTTCAAAGTAGGATTGCTCAGGTCTAAATAAGCTACTCTGAGCATAAGAATGACCAAATGAAATGTTTATGAATCAAACAAAGATAAATTATATTCAGGAGTCAAAATTTACTCTAACAATATCTGACCTAATTTATTCTTCATTTGATACTACATGCATATATATATCTTTTATATTAAAACTAATATTTCCAAATGTATGATTTAAAGTGTTCTCAGTGTGAGCATTTAGAGCCTACTGGATAAGATGTTGATGAACAACCAACATCACGCGTCAGAGTAGCTGGAATCAACTCCCAGCTTTAGCTCCTCATTTTAGCTTGCTTTGAATTCAGCTCCTGAGAAGTGGCAGTGACTTTTTGACTGGGTTCTTGTTCTACATATGGGAGACTGTAATTTGATTTCCGGTTTCTCCTTTCTCTCTCTTTAATCTATTATCCCCTGTCTTTCTCCTATAGAAGGAAATTATAAAAAATACTTTCATAATGCCTAATTAAAATTTCCAACCCTAAACTGGTTATATTACAGATAGAACATTTTCAAAACTAAGACTTCTTTTTTTTTTCTGTTAAAGTTTATTGGAGCATAAAATCTTAGAAATGGAAGGGAAACACAAGGAAGAGTTGGACACTTTAAAGGAAGAGAAGGAGAACCTGCAAGGCCTGGTTGCTCGTCAGACATACATAATCCAGGAGCTGGAGAAGCAGCTGAACAGGGCCACCACCAACAATAGCGTCCTTCAGAAGCAACAGCTGGAGCTGATGGACACAGTCCACAACCTTGTCAACCTTTGCACCAAAGAAGGTGGTAAGAATTTCTTCCTCATTTTGGTTTTGTAAGTACTTTGTTTCATATGAATGATGTAATATTTAATACAACTTGTTCCACTGTACTGGTTACTGTGTAAAACAATAGGATAAGCATTCATGAGATTTATTAATAATTATGTCAGTACGCATGGATAATTTTAAAAAGTGATATATTTCTAATTGTTTAGTCCCTTGTTGGTTCTTTTAATGTGAAAAAAAAATCAATTCTATTATTAGGGATACATTATTATGTATTATGGTATTTGATGGGCAACCACATAAAACAGAAATAAGCCAGTGCTAAAGGCTATATGTGAGCGCCGGGGGACATTTTAGAGGAATTTCTGGTTTAAAACTAATACCAGTTATTTCTTTTGTTGAAGGATGCATGTTTCTTTCTTATAAAGGAGATAGAGACTCTACTAACTTTATCATTGAGAAAGCATTAGTGCTGCTTAATGTCTTTTGTTAAGATCACAGGCTTATTCTTACAGACATTCAATCAAATTATTTGGGCACATTAATCTGAAGTGTTCTTGTGATAATGAGGTTTACAGAGTTTTGTTTTTAAAACACTTCTTTTGATTGGAAGTTAGAGTCAGAGAGAAAGAGAGAGAGAGAGAGAGAGAGAGAGAGAGAGAGAGAGAAAGGTCTTCCCCGCCTTGGTTACTCCAGAAAAGGTGGCAACAGCCAGAACTGGGCTGGTGAAAAAACTGGGAACCAGGAGCTTCTTCCAGGAATCCCCAAAGGGTAGAGCTGCTGAAGGACTTGGGCCATGCTCTGCTGCTTTTTCGGAATAGACGCAGAGACTTGAGTGGGAAGTGAAGTATATGGGATGCAGGTGACTGCAGGCAGAGCGTTAACTTGCTATGCCACTGCACCAGTCCTGAGATTTACAAAGTTTTGATAACACTACAGTGTCTGGGATCATGTAGTGATTAGAAATATCTGCAGGTCTTTATCATTGCTTCTATCTACATGACAGTTGTTGGATGAGGGTCTCTGGGTGCACCTGTCCACTTGAAGCAGAACCTTGTCCAAGCCTTAGCACAGTTCTTCAGAGTTTTCAGCCGAATACTTCTATGCTTGAGTCAGCCCTTTGGTGTAAAGGTGGAATTCTGCTGATGAGAGAAAGACAACAGTACTTACTTCAGAAAGTCATGATTTAAATGAAGCTGCATTTTATGTGAGCATTCATATAATGGTTCCAGTTGCCTATGCCTCTCTTAACGGTGGGCTGAGTGATGTGAAAAATTAGCTAGATCTTATACTTTCACATACGTAAATATAGAATGTAACTTCATATAAAGTGATCCCATTTTGAAGACATTTCACATTTCTCAATTGCACTCCATTACCTTGAGTTATATGTCCTTTTGATAGTCTAAACAAGGCTTTAATCTACTTTGTAAAGTAATATTTTTAAACAGTTCACAGAGCTCCATTTGGGTGTGCTCAGTAATGTGACTGGGAAGGAAAAAACCTGCTCATCAGTCAGAGGCGGCCAAAACTTGGAGCTAGAATCCACTGGAAGAAAAGCCCAGTAAGATTTTGCCAGAGAATTTTAATAGACCTCAAGAGTATTTAGAAATTAAGTATTAATTTGAGACGTATCTATTTTCATATCGAACTGAATACATTTGGGGAAAGATTGAAAACACATTTTTTTCTTATCATCCTGAGACTTAAAGCACATGAAGTTGAGTAGCAAGGATTTTTTTTTCCCTCATGATTTTAGAGATGTCAAGCCCTGGTGATTCTCACAGAGCTCATATGTCTGCCTACTTTTCATAGTTTAACTTTGAGTATTTCTCTAATAAATGTGTCTCAAAGCTTTTAGAGACAGGGTGTGACTTTAAAATTGCTGGCAAGGTTTGAAATTTAAGTGCAGCATCAGGCAACCAAGTATTCATTCAATTAAGGAAATGATGATGGTGACCATGATATTTACTGATAGCCCTTAGCATTTACTCAGGGTGCAAAAAAAAAAAAAAGGAACCATGCCTATTTTATAATGTCACACAGCCTAAAACAGTAAAATAGAGTGAAATTGCCTAATACTTCAACTCTCTGGATATGTCTTCTTTTTAAAAGTGCAATCTGAAAATAATCTGTAATTTATCTGTAGGATTTGTGATCCTGATATAAAGACATTGCTCAATCTTCCATTGATTTCTATATGTTCTTAACCATTATGTTATCTACTTCTAGTGAATCTTTTTCTTTCTTTTTAACTCTGTGTTAAGTATTATAATTAAAAATTTTCTTATTTTAGGACTCAGATCCAAAAAAATTGGAAAGTGGCTCTTCTTAAGATGTCCATCAAAATTTCAATTTTCTGCATAGCTTTCAATTTGTATTGGGACCACATTCTCATTTTATTATATATTTAAAATATAAAACGACTACTAGCATAATATTGGAATAAATACCGGTTAATGAACTTTTACTTTATCTCAATTGGAAATTACAAAGATAAAACTTTTCATATTCTAATATAAAATTAAGTTATTGAATACACTTATTACTTTTCAAAAATTAATGTGAATATTTTACTTTGGGATCAATATTATACAGATTTTCTAAAATCAATATACCATATTAAACAGATCAAATTTTCTAAAATGTATATTTTTAAAATGTAAAAATATCTTAGTTTCAAATTGATCCAATCATTTGTAGAAAGAGCATGAGTATTTTTCTGCCACTCCTAAGAGGAAAATTTTAATGAGTGTCCCCTAATACTAGCAATCAATTTGACTGTTATGAAGTATTCTTTTACCAAGTCTAGTTATATGTGCTTAGTTATAAAAAGAAATGAATTATATTGCTTGATGTAAAGTTAACAGCACAGTGTGAAGGATAAAAATTCTTTATCAAATTTAATTCCTTCTTCTTCAAGGGACAAAATTCTCTATTGAACACTCAATTGTAAAGTGCTACCTATAAGCAAAATTTCATTATAGAAAGTATATGTACATTGCTGTTGAGTTTTTGGCTATTGTCTATTGTCAGTCATCTAAGCATTTTTTGGGGCTTCAACTCTTTGATCTCTAAGATGGGATCATAATATATGCACCCAATGAGTATATAGTTCAACATGAATACTTTATTTTTCATTTGTGTAGCACAAACCTACAAAAAAAGTGGATCTTAAATGTATTCACCTCAAAGAAATGGCATTTGAGTTAAAGGATGTGCAATGCATACATGTAGTGAAGCACTGCATTTTACTCCCATATATACAATTATAATTTGTTGATAAACAAAATAGAAAAAGCAAACTAAAATGTTTAAAAGAATTAAATGAGTTTATTTAAAATGCATCATATATTCTGTAGTGATTCAATAAAAGAATTGTAGGGTTTTTTTCTTAACTTTTAAAAAGCTTATCCTGAGTTAAAACTATATGATAAAAGTTCATAGGCAATGTTGGCTTGAGTGTACAATTTTCCCAAACATTTATTTAATCCATTATTGAGATAGGAAACCATGAAATTCATTTAAACTGAGTACAACTAATTGACACAAGCAATTTCACCACATTTTTCTTGTTTAAAATAGACAATGGTGTTATCCTAGGCAAATACTGGTTTCAAATTGAACTGCATCTATATTTAAGGCTTCTGGATAGCACATTTATTTTTGTCTGAGCTTTGTATACAAAAATATGATCACATTTATTCTTAGAAACATTACCCACTAAAGAAATATTGTCCTTAATCCTGTTACAGTGTCAAAGCTTAGTTGATTGCTTCATGTTTCTGGGAATTCACAGTTATTGCTGGAGTGAAATAGTTTATATTGATAATGACATGGAGCCAGGTGTGGTCTTCTACAGGGAAGGATATTCAAGTAATCAGATTGAGAGATCTTGTCTAGTCATCTATTTAAGCAGTGATGAAAGCAACAGCACAAAATTATACAAAGATGAATCTTACATTGTGCATTTCAGAATTTACTGAAAAAGTGCAAAAAAAAAAAAAAAAGAAAGAGTATGTAGACTTCATTCTAAAATTACACAGACTGATGGTCTCACTTTTCAAATCAACTTGGAGTACATTCCTGCTATACCAAAATGTGATTCATAAATTTATCTGGTCATTCAAAAAATAGTTCTGAACAACTGTTCTATTTCAGAATCTCTTCTGGAAGATAAGAGTGTTTATCCATTTTCATTTAACAAATGTTTGCTAAGTTCCTCTAATGTGCCGGAGATATTGTTCAGATCACCAGGAAGAAGAAAAATCTGTTTGAGTCTATGGCTTCAAGGGACCAATTATATTCCAGGATTTCTTGGTAATTCCTGGTAAATTCCAGAACCTTGGGCACCACCAATAAAGCAGGCAGAAAAATCACAAATGCAGCAGAGTCAGCATATCTGTGCAGAGTCCAGAATCTGTAGTCTTCTTGAGGATTTTGTCAAATTCTTATTTTGACATTGAGTAAGCTTTATGTGTATTAACTCAGTCCTCCCAACAACAGAATGAAGACGATACTGGGTTTAGCACCATATTATATCATCTACAGTGAAGTTTAAAATTGACATAAGATTATACAGCTGAAATGTATTAACCAAGGATTAAAACAGCCAGTTTACTTCTAATGGGGGTATCACGGCTAAGTTTCCAAAATGAAGAGAGGAGAGGACTCTCTTGAAAGTGTAAAATCTTTTTGCCTGGAGTCATGGGAGCATGGGTTAAGGATGGTATATGTAAATTCAGTCTACAACTCAAACTTGAGGCAGAGTAATAGAGAATACAAAATTAGGAAAACCAAGGGATAAGAGGGAGACTACATTCTGTTTTCCACCTGATGCAATAATGCACCATTGTAAATATTTAGTGATGGAATCTATTTTTGCATTTGAGAAAAATTTCCCCAGTCACAGTACAGGAAAAATGCACTGAAAGGTTGAGTAAAGTGAAAGGAAGGATTAGTACTTGTCTTTGTCATAATCATGAGAGCAAATTCTCAGCACAAGTTAATATTCAGAGC